GAAAAATCGTTTCACGTGTTTCAGCGTTTTTTTTTAATGTTGGAAGTTGTCGAAATATTTGACCGTCCCGGTACATAATTGACACCCTGTATATATATACATATATATATATATAATATATATGCATGAAAAATTTACGTTGACGCAAGTTTAGAAAAACTGCTAAGAAACTCGCATGTAATCAGAGAACTCGTATTCAGTTACCCAATTCCGGCAATTTGCGATACGACTCGCGAAAGAAGACTGCACTAATCGCGCCGACGACAACCATGTATTACCAACGAGCTAATTATGGTTGGCTTGGCATGAGATAGTGGGCTCTCATTATCATCCTGTAGGATTCTTGGGTAACCGGTAGCAGAGTAAAACCCGCTCCGTTTGCTGCTCTCTTTAGTAAAGTCGAGTTCGCGATAAGGATCGATAATGTCGTTCTACCTATCATTTACTGCGAATCGTAATAGCTACTCTTCGCTATGCCTTTTGCATTTAAACACGTTAGTCTTCTTGCTCACTTTTCTCGTTAATCTTTTTTTTTTCCCCTGACTTCACGGGAAACGTACTCCTCGCGCTTGCACGGCATATTTAGGAGACTATGATGGAATAAAATATTCGTCCTTTTAGTTCCTGTAAAAATATTGAAAGCAGTACAAAGAGGTCTACGTTATCGGCTTTGTTTCTTTTCTTGTTGCATTAACACATGCCATCTCTTCGATATTTAAAATTCACTTGATAAAAGAGTTGTAATCGATATGATTTCATTTTAATACTAAATTCAAAATCAAGGTAATAAACGAAAACGTGGAAAAATTAAAGATATATAATTAACATTCCATCTTTTTTTATTCATTATATTTAAAAATCGAAAATAAAAGCTGAAGTATTTAATGATAGAAATTAAAACGTGATAAATTGTTCTCTCTGATAAAATTTTCGATTAAAAAAAAAAATCGATTCTAAATTAAATTGAAAAATTTATTTTTGCTGTTGATTTTCACCTTATTTTAAATTATTTTGCGCAATTGTGTCTACTGTATGCAAGCAAAATGAAAAGATGTAACAATGAAATATCATTGTTTGATTAGTGACATCTCATTTTATAATTTATAGCTTCTATCAAATGATTCTTTTACTAAGGCGAGTCATTCGTTTTCGTTTATGTGCAAATATTTCAAGTCAAATAAAAGTGCATTAGATAATCTCATGAAAAGTGCTTACATTCTAGGCATAATGACTCTCACATTAGTGGCGAGAAGAGTGGCGCCGTCGTTGGCGACACATAGCAATCGGCAAGAGCACCGCTCCCATGAAGAAGCCTCTTAAAATAATTACGACAATCCTTAATCGTCTGTAAACTCGGAGAAAATGCCGCTCGTTTGGCGAATTGCACGTGGCGAATTGCGCGCGACTAGTAATCGATAACGGAATCGAAATGTCCGGAGAAATGCTATCAAAACGGGATGAATCGATCAAATTGAAATAGCACATGTTTGTATAATATTCATGACGAACACATTATAGGGAAATAAGACATATACTTATGATGTAAATAACGTAAGGAAATTTTAACGATTCTTTTGTTGTAGAAATGAATTATTTTGACCTCGTTTTCTTGCAATAATTAGAATTTTCTACAATTTTAAATACGGAGTCATATAATAATGGAAAACATAATGGTCTTCATTATTTGCTCTACTATTATTTTAAAATTTATGTAAAATTGTCATATATTGTTTTTACAAAAATTAGAATTTTAATATAATTATTACTTTTAATTTTTATAATAAAATAAATTGAGAAATAAAATAGAGAAATTTCAATTTTTACGTTCAAGTAGAGGTATATCGAGAGAGATATGTACTAAATTTTAATAAATATTTATTTGAATAATATTAGCTAAATATTTGTTAAATATAAACATATATTTATTTGATATAAGAATTATTAATTTGATTTAAATATAATTTTTTTTTTATTCAGTAAATATTTATTTTCTCTGAATGAATGTTAGGTTATTGCTATTCAAACAAATATTTATTAAAATGTAGTACATTTTTTCTCGATGTATTCTTTCGTTTTTACAATTCGAATTGAAATGCAAATTAAATACATTCTAGAAACGCTTGTAAAGTATTATAATAGACGCTGCTGGAAGACTCGTTAACATATTTGTTTTTTCTTAATATGATTTTCTCGAGATTGCGTGGTAAATGCGAGTTACATAGGGAGCATGTTCTAGAGACCAGGATAGAGCTTTTGAAACATGCAACAAGTCTATATTTCGCGTGGTGAGTCTGGTGGCCAATCGATGGAATCAATTTGCATAATGTATACACGCGAACGCGTATGCTCGACAATGCCTCGATGTGCCGGAGTTGCTTTTATGCATATAGTGATAGAGGAATATCATTGACGTATCACTAACATCAATAAAATTGTGCTGATGAGGCGAGAAACTTACAAAGATAAAAAATTTGACTATATTTAAAATATGCGCGACTAACACACTATCGATTAATGATTAAAGATTCTCTCTTGAATAATAAAATTATAAAACCGTATTCAAATTACAAAATCTCGAATAAAATCATGTTTAATATTAAATTATTTTAAAACGAGAAATTAATATCATTCCGAATAAAATCATAGAATCGTATTTTATGTTAAAATGATTTACGATTCTCTGTATTTGTAAAACAATTTAATGTTTCAAACTTTAACGAGTTCACGCTTTAAGCGAGTTTACAGTTTCTCCAAGTGAACGATTGTCAAACTAATGATGCTGCAGGACACGGTTCTGTTGTTTTAATGTACTTTCAAATGAGGTGGAAACTGATTTAAACTGTCGCACTGTGTCTGGTAACGACAATTAATAACGCACGGTTAATGTATCATAATGTATCACGTACATCCGACTTGTGTAACAATATATTGTGTGTAACGATGTATGTTGTTACAATGATTGTACTTTATACGAACATTTTTTATGTTAAGCATTTTTCCTGTTAGTGTTTTGATCTTTCACAAAAATAAACGAGAATTTCATTTGATAAATTATTCGAGAGGATGTAACGATAAAGTAGAATTTAAATCGTTTTAACTAAAAAAGACAATACTTATACAGCTTTGACGTATAGATGAGGATATTTTTGAATGTTTTTGGTAATTGACATAAATTTATCACACATTACTAAATCACTACGAGTTATAAATAACTTTCAGACAAATCTTATCCTTATGTATAAGAACAATCCGGGAAAATTAATTTCTTAGATGTATTGATTATTTATTAATCACAAAATATACATTCATGATTAAGAGAATGCATTAAATTCTATAATGCAGAAAAGAGCATATTAATTTTTTTTAATTATTAATTAAACTTGAAAGTAAACACTTTGTTTTAAAAATAAAGAAACATTAATTACGTATTTGTCTATAAAAAATTCAACATTATGTAAATTGTTATTAGCTTTTTCAACATATTTGCTTCAATTGTTTCAAGTATTTCGACAGTATATCTGCAAACCTATCATAAGTTTATCTATTAAATTAAAAAAACGAATTCAATTTGCTTATTATGTAAAGTCGTTTCTTCGATCAATCTTATATGTTCTTTAAAAGAAAATAAATTTTTGTTTTAAATATGTATATATAATTAATTTTTCTAAGATTTATAATAAGTATACTTTAAGATACTATATCAAGAAAATATTCATTGTTAAAGATAACTGTTATTCAAAAGAAAAAATGAGTAATCGTTTTTCTTTGCAATAAAATGATATTTTTCTTTATGTAGATTGCATCAATGACCGACAAGTTTAAAAAAAAATGACTTACATCATTATCGCTTTCATCCTCCATAATTACCGTTAGAAAAATACGAACTTTTTCAGAATAAATGTTAAAGAGCGTAGGGGGTGATGTTTTGACAGGTAGCGAGGTAAATCTGAGCGAGTGGGGAGGCAAAGGAGCGTCGTATGTCGACCCGCACGATGCACGGTCAGCGATCGAGTGACAGCGCGGGTCTCGTCAGCCGGGCGATGCGTCGGTTGGTCGGTTCGGCCGCGGTCGTCTGCGCGGCCGAAGGTCGCCGAGGAGGGCCGACGGCAGGCGAGCGCCAAGCTCCAGTATAGCGGAGCGCTCCGGACGAAACGTATTCAGTATATGTTAAGCAGGCGCGCGCGATACGAGTTGTCACGTTTACTTTCCGCGAGCGCGCCGCCATCGCGCATCGTCGTCGCTGCCGACGACGATCAACATCTTTCTTTCTCTCTCTTTCTCTCTTTCTCTCTCTCTCTTCCTCTCTCTCTCTCCCCCTTCCTCGGTATATAATATATACATCGAACGATAACGTTGCGCATTACTTTCGCGTATCTGGACATGAAAGAAATTTGAAAAACCAAGTGCGCGCAACGATAAGCGGAAAAGCGTTCCATCCTCCTTCTCTTTGGTTTCCGTGACTCGCGGTTTTTAAAAGCCGCGCGTGTTCGAAGGGGGAAAATGTCGCGACGAAAGTGAAGACTCTGCGTAAGTACTCTCTTGCTCCCTCCTTTTCTTCGTCTTTCCTGCTGCATTATTTATCGTTTCCTCTCTCTCTCTCTCTCTCTCTCTCTCGACTTCTATCCCGTTTCTCCCTCGCACCTCTACTCCGTTCCACCTCGTACTTCTTCTCCCTCTCCTCGTCTTTTTCGCTCTCTCCTTCTCTCTTCTTCGCACCGACGTCGTCTCGTGGGGTCAGTGTCTGCTCGATCGGATCCTGAGCAGGAACATACCGGCGGACGAGGAGGAAGAGGAGGAGGAGGAGGAGGAGAGGAGGACGATCTCTTTCCCTCGGCGCGACTCTACCTCGGAGACTGCAACCGTTTGTGACGCGCGCTCGCGCTCGCGCTCGCGCACCACGTCCTTCAAGGATCATCGTTTTCGGAGCGCTTCGTTTTTCGCGCCACGCGGTACGCGGCGGCAGAAATGTGATGATGTGACCCGACACGTCGACGGCAACGCATATCGCGCGGCACCGTCGCGGAATCGACAGCGAGCAGATCGATTATTGGCGCCGATTCGACGCGCGGCTGTCGCCCCAGGAAACTCTCTCGCTCGCACTTTATCACTGTCCCTCCTCGCGTAGTATCACTTGCCTTTTTTTTTTCGCTCATTCCCCTCCCCTCCCGCCTCCTTTTTCTCGGCTATATCATTCCTCGTCTCTCTTCCTCTCCCGCGTGCTCTCGCACGCGCTTTTTCCATCTTCCATTACTTCTACGGTTCTGCCTGCCTCTTCCTCTCTCGCACTTCGCTGCCGCCGTAGTCTCGCTCGCTTCGCGCCGCGTATTTTCTCGCGAGCGAATGCGAGAAAAAAGAGAGTAGTCAGCAGGCGATTGATACCGCGCCGCGCGCGAAAGAGACACGCCACTTTGGTGGAAACGAGATCGGACTAGCCGTGAGTTTATGTTTTTGTTTATCACGGACCGACTGCACCGGTATAAAACTACACGCTGCACTGCACTGCTGCGCGAGAGGAAGTTGCAAGTGGAACGCCCATCGGAAGGACGATTCGTCGCTGGAGGCGTTCGAGAAAGGTAAATGTCTCGATTTCTTCTCCGTTTTGTACGAAGTAGAGATCCTGTGACAGAGACGAGATTACCACGAACCTGGAAATCGGGGAAAAGTCAGGGAAACTGGAAGTTAAGGAATTATGCAAAAAGATGAACAAATTCTTGACTTTAAAGAAGTTTAATACGCACCTACAGAATTTCGAAACACAACCAACTTAACAATTAAAAATGCAAGCAGTGTCAGCAACATTAATAGTAATTTACATTACTGTGTAAATTGATCTCTCCACAAAATATTTAACGGTTTTCAAATCAGGACGAAACTGCAACAAATTTCAAAATATTGAAAGCATCAGAGAAAATTATGAAATTTTAGGATGAAGGATTTCTGGTAATCCTTGTACAGAGTCTAGTTACGAGATGACAAACTTTTGATTAACCTGTCGTTTTTGTCAACGTTAGTAAGTTGGAATGAGTAAGATAGTATAAGTTAGACTGAGATATATAAAAACTTTGTTATGAAGTCTCCAGTATATACGTATATTATATATATATATATATATGTATATGAAGCACGCGTTACCGCACTGAAATTCAAAACGAAATTTCGAGAGGAGTAATTTCTCGAATCTTATTGAATAGAAATTAGGATTCGATTCGAAAAAAGAAAAGTATTATAAAAGAGAGTATATTTTTTAAAGATAGAAAAGGCTGACAAATGGATTAAAACGTAGTTGTGGATGGAAACACAATAGTTTGTTTTCGAGCAATTATATTAACAAAACACGCTGTCTTATTGTTAAAATTGGACAAATATCGAACAAAATGTATCGGCGAAAATGTATGTTCAAAGTCGACGAACTGAATATGTATATCAGCATACATACATAAAATGTACGCAGTACTACATACGCGAAAATGTTATTATACGTGAATACATTTTACCTAACACCGTCAGAGGCGAGTTGATTCATTGTGGTGATCAGTATTGTCGACTTGAACACACAATATTGTCGCGTACGTTTGTCACGCAAATGTGAGAGCGCAGAATGACTAGCCACTATTGTACTATTACTTTCGGTATATATAACTTCTCGCTGAGCTGCATTCGTATATTTGTCCATTTCAGCAACAGGCGAGCTTTTTTTTCATCTACTTCACATTTCCCGTTACATTAATTTCAAAAACTGCGCTGCAATGTATCACTATCCTCGAAAATCAAGCTTATCTCCTATAGAAAAAAATTATTATTATCCAGAGTTGATTAGATCCAACAGTTTTAATCCGCATATAAGTTTATGTATGTGTATTTACCATGTATATAGAAAAATATCGTTCTACTACTAACAATAGGAAAAATGATTACTAGGTTTACTTTTTTTTTCATTTAAGTAATGATTATATTTTTAACAAAAACATTTTTTTTATAATAATCTTAAAATACACTTATTACAAATTTTAGAAAAACTCACAGAATTGATTTTCTCTTGAAGAATATTATAAAATTTTTTATCGAAGAAGTGATATTTATACACTGTAAAAAATAAAATGTTAATTTTAACTTATAGTCGTATAATGGACTTTCTGAGACAGAAAAATGTTAATTTTTACATTTTTGTATGCCTCAGAAAGTCCACTATACGACTGTAAGTTAAAATTTTATTTTTTACAGTGTATAATAAGCAAATCGAATTTGTTTTTTAATATAACAATCTTAAAGTATTAAACTTATTAGGATTTAAAAAATATATTTTGAATAAATTTGATGCTTGTGGTGAATTTACGGTAAATTTGCGGATGGATTAACTTTTTTGAAACAATTAATTAATATTTAAATGTAGTATGTATTTTTCTGTGCGCACTGACGTGCGACCTGTGTGTTGCAAACTCGTGTTCTTTTTTATATAAATATTAACAAGGTATTACGGTACCTGTAATTCTAAGAACACAAAACATACTGATGTTGGATTTTTTTCACATTAAGATGTCCATTCCTTCGCTCGTACAAGGTAATCATGCGTTCAAAGAAGCTTGTTGTATAATGATTCTTAGCAGGTAGCACGATACTTGGCAAATGATCATTTCTTTACAGTGAGTGAATTTAAATATATTGCGAATGAATTTAATTACGAGTACATTAGATAAAATTTATCGCTGGCGTTTTGCCGAAGCTGGCGTTTCCGCGAAACGGTTGACTCGCTTTGTGAAACGAACATGCATAGTGAATGGAGACGCGCAAAACGAACATAAAACACATGCAGTGCATCATGCATTGCAAAGCACTATAGCCATTGATAGATAAATACCCATGAGGTTCCAAATCCACCGAATATTCCTGCGTTAAAAAAGCATTTGGAATATTTCTTTATTTATACTTTTTTTGTTGTATTTAATTTATTGTTGTAAAAATATTTCCATTGAGTATTATCTTTATAAAAAAGCGAATTACACGTGCCTTTTTAATGAGGCTTTATTACAGTTTTTCTTCTATGTATTGTGTATTAATAGTTTGAAATTATTTCTCATGAAATGAAATTTATGAAGTAAACTTCAAGTTATTATGTAATCTAAAATTTCTCTTTGAGCAAGGTCGAAAATTTAAGTTAATCGCTAAATAAATTTTCGTTTCTTATTTACGTTAGAAACGTCTTGAAACGTTATTTGTCGGCTCTTTGATTTTTATTTAAATAACATCATAATTAAATTGCTGATTGAGCTTTTTGTAGAACGAATTAAAAATTTGAAAGTAGAATACATCTCGCCAATTTTCGTTTTACGAAATGTTTTGTATAATAGTGAATAATCGTTATTCAGCAGTGGATTTGATGTAATAATGTAGCGTATTATAAATTAGATGGCTATAATGTAAATTGCAGCAGACGGTTTTCCAATGAATGCTCTTACGCATAGCGCACGTTGAACCTTAATTTTCCGAAAGGGGTGCATTATGCGATTGCATTTAACGAGAGGATATGTGGATGTTCATAATACTTTTTCTACATATCGTTTATCGTTTATTTATTGACTTTTGTCATTGGCGATGGACATTTATAATATAATATATTGCCGGAAATATTTTTTAAATCTGTCTCTCTTTTCTTCTCTTTCTTGCCATTCTTGATTATATTTCGAAATAATTTAGTCTATTGCATTAATTTCTAATGATTGTCATATTGCTTTTATACTAATTGTTTCAGAAAAGCAACCTGTTAAAAAAATCTTCTTTTCAATTTATATGAGATATATGACGTTTAAACATTTTTCAAATATTTTCAAACGAAATTACTTTGTATTCCATTGCAGGCCTGAAATGTAAATTTCATCAGTTTCGGATACAAAACCACAATTTGCCCGTTTCCGTGAGTCACTTGATTTGTAAGGCTTTCGCTTTTTATCACGGAAAAACAAACGAGAGAAGATGGCACTATCTTGCCGCTCGAAAGCCCGCGACTTATTCTCGTAAGAATGAAAAACAGTACTTATTAAAGTTTGTCTCCAGCTACGAGAAAAGTGTCACTGAACATTTTACTTAATTTTTTTCTCTGCTCGTATTTGCTTTTATTACGTTTCTAGAATCATAGTCCTCGAAAGAAAAACGTTCTTCTTTTCATGATGATATTCGCGACGTGTAATTTCTCGTATAATGAGTCATGGAAAATGATTTTCCATTTTCATGTTTGCGTCTGAATACACAATGTGTATTAAAATCGAGCGATGAAAATTGGTTTCTAAACGTTTCCGTCACGAATATTAAGGTTGAATGAGTAACTTTTTAATATTTAATATCAGCTCGATGCTAAGTTTCGTTGCGTGGTGAATCAATTACAATTTTATCATTTAAATTATGACGAAAAAATTCGAATCAATTTTACATAATATATTCTCTCTTGAATTAGCATAGCGCGCGCGCGCGCGTATATATAAAACATTTACGTAATTTCTAATTCTTAATATGTTTAAAGAGAATTAATAAATTATAATTATATATTATAATGTTACTATAATTTATATCATCATATTGTTATCATTATTTTAATTATAATTTATTAATTTTAATTATAATTCTCTTTAATTATATTAACAATTAGAAATTACGTGAATGTTTTACATATGCGCGCTATGCTAATTCAAGAGCCAAGTTTTTTTCATGATTCATAAAATTAACTCTATTAGTGTAATTAATTTTTTATTAAGCTGATGCTATTTACCTTTCTTACATTTTTTTTCTGCTTTATTGAAACAGTTTTCTGTTTCAATAAAATAGGATAACTTTGGCTTAGTCGAGATAACTTGGTCTAAATTAAAAAAAATTACTTGGAAGTTTTATGTCTCGATTTTAATATACGTTCTACCTGGGTATTAGTAAAATTTGAACGAAAGTTGTGTCATTTTAAAATACGAATTTGTCGATTAATTTTGACGAAATTTAAAAATAAATAAATTAAACAATTTTAAAAGTGATTTATTCTACATTGCAGCATATATAAGCACGAGTTAAATGAGTCAAACATTCATAAATCTAACATGGCGTGAAAAGATTGTTTGTTTGCTGCAATCCTGCTGAGAATTTGTAACGAAAATGCATCTCTCTCGAGGGAGTTAAAAGAGTTATATACGAGATATATTTTATCTGTCACGTTGTGTCTGACGTGTATTAAAAAACAATGTGTGTTGCTTTATCTTCCTTAATTACTTACGCCAAAAAAACTATACCATAATTTAATTTGTAACATGAGAGTATTAAGAAGACGTGTGTGTTTTTTATTTTTTTTTTTAAGGAAAGATTAGGTAATATTGTAATTAACTTGAAAGACATTTTCTCTCATAATAATCGAGAGTGAAAAGTAAATTCGAAACTGCAACAGACGGAATATTAAATTTCATTTAAAATTAATAAAATTTGGTACATTATCTCTTTAATTAAAGGATCCAATAAAAATTATTCAAATTCAATTTTAATGATTAAATATTATTTCATAATACTTTTCATTGCTTTATTATTGAAATTGAATGTGAGAATATTT